CGTAGTGCGTCAATAATAGTTCAGAGCTAATGATGGTTTTCAGCTTGCAAAATGCAGCTTCAAACTCTTACGTCCAGTTCCAAATAGTATTCTTATTCAGAAAATAATTTAGTGGGGTGCGTATGTCATGCATCGACAGAACAAAAGCTAAGTAGTAGCTAATTAATCCCAGGAATGATCGTAGCTCAGAGATATTAGTGGGAGTCGGTATCAGTTTTATAGCTCAGATGTTTTCAAGATCTGGTCTGCGATCTGCGGTATCAAAGATGAATCCCAAGTATTTAATTGACATCAAGAAAAGCTGGCATTTTTCCGGGCGTAATCGGAACCCGTTATCGCTCACGCGTTGTAGTACAGCTGTCGTGCGTTCTCGAAGTTGTTCTAACGATGTGGCAACAATTAAGGTGTCATCGAGATAAGTTGCGACCCCCGGGATACCCGATAGAATGGTATCCATTAGTTGCTGAAAAATAGATGTAGCTGCCTCAACATTAAATGGTAGGCGATTGTACTGAAACAAGCCACGATGAGTACTTATGGTAAGTAACTCTTTCGAATCTTCAGCCACTTCCACTTGTAGATAGGCATCAGCGAGATCCAGCTTTGCAAAAAACTCCGCTGTTTAGCATAGTGAGCAGATATGGAGGAACTGGCAACAGGAAATGATGTTCTAGAGCTGCATAAGGGCTGTTGAGAAATCAGCGCATATTCGTATTGTGCCATTTGCTTCCTTAATAACCACAAAGGGTGCTGCCCAAGCAGAATAAGAAACAGATATAATAACTCCCTGTAGTTGAAGGCGTCTGAGTTCATCAACTTTCGACAATGCTGCACACGGCACTGGTCTCTTTGGACAGAAGACAGGTTTAGCTCCAGGTTTCAGCCGAAGTGTTGCTTTCATAGCAGTGCACTCATCCAATGCAGGCTGGAAAATGGTTAAAAACTCCTTCAATAGCTTCTTCGTATATGCTTCAGGTTCATGGGGTTGTTTCACCACGTGGCATACGGTGCTTAACGGGACATCAGCTAAATGCAGCTGGTCGAACCAATCTAAACCAAGTAAATTTAGGTCAGCTGGCGTTATATAACATACCCCAGTGAACGTCGAATCGTGAAAAGTTATTTTACAATCTAGGTGTCCCAACAAACGTAGGTGTTTACCGCACGCAGTACGAGGTTTTTGTGTTGTTGGCAAAGTACGTGGTCTGCCCATTCTGATTCAAGATTTTCGTGAGAGAATTGTCACGTCAGATGCAGTGTCTATTTGCAATCTAAATGGATGCCCATTAATATTAAGAGTAAGAAATTTCCTCTCACCTGTGGTTGAGTTCTGACAGGTTGCTACTAGACTCAACGAGTTTGTGCAGGATTTAGGGACAGGCTTCCCGGTACTTCTAGAGCTGATCGGCTTCTTTTTTTGACAAAACCCATCTTTACGACCCACAGCTTTACATTTCCTGCACCGATGTTGTTTATATTGGACAGCTTCGAACAAAATGCCATGCACCGCAGGGCCACTAGGAGGATTTGTTTTCGCTTGTTGACCTGATCTATGTGTAGATGAGACAGATTTATGCGGGTTGTGTGGTTGTTGGACTATATGAACGTCGGCACGATCTGAACCACCACGCTGGACCATCGTAGTGTCACGCTGCAGATTTATTAGATGTTGATACTCATTTGCAATATCAGTGAGTGTCAATTTAGGGTCTTGGTCTAATCGACTTAGCAAGCGTGTTCTAATGTCACTGAACTGCGATGAGAATAAGTGCTTTAAATTGGTCTTCAGTAAGCTACTTCAACCGGAAGTGTTCGTATTGTCGGTTGACGATGCACACATACGTGAGAAAATCAGCGTTATCGTTCATAGCCATCTTCCAACATCGATAACGTGCATTGAACAGTGAAGAGTTATCTCCAAACTGTTGGCTCAATGACTGGACGGTATCCGAGAATGAGCAGTCACGTGGGCTTAGAGGCAGAATTAAGTTACAACGTCTGTCTAATTCACTAGGACCCAGTTTCCGAAGCAGCAAGCAAACTTTCCAAACATTATCCTGATTAGCGAAATCAAATTTGGATAAGTCTTCATAGCTTCGATTACTTACTTACTTACGCCTGTTACTCCCAATGGAGCATAGGCCGCCGACCAGCATTCTCCAACCCACTCTGTCCTGGGCCTTCTTTTCTAGTTCCATCCAATTCTTGTTCATTTTTCTCATATCTATCTCCATTTCTCGGCGTAATATATTCTTTGGTCTTCCTCTCTTCCTTCGACCTTGAGGATTCTATGTGAGGGCTTGTCTTGTGACGCAGTCCGGTGCTTTCTTCAATATGTGTCCTATCCATTTCCAGCGCTTCTTCTTGATTTCTTCCTCCACTGGGATCTGATTTGCTCTCTCCCACAGTAGGTTGTTGCTTATAGTGTCCGGCCAGCGGATCCGAAGTATTTTGCGTAGACAACTGTTAATAAACACCTGTATCTTTTGGACGATGGATTTCGTAGTTTTCCAGGTTTCCGCCCCATACAGTAGAACTGTCTTGACATTTGTATTGAAAATTCTGACTTTGGTGTTGGTTGCCAACTCGCTAAAAAATTGCTAACCAGAAAATTATTCATAACTTCGATACCACATATCAAATGTGACATTACAGTCAGAATCATCCCAAGCAAGATAATAGCCAGCATAACTCCCCGTCAGCCACCACTATTGGGAAGCTCATCAGCCTATGCTATTTGGAAAGTTAGAGTAATGACGTGTTTACCTCAAGTTCCAAAAACGGAACATTTTGAATATCCCGTCTTATTTAGATGATGAGGCAGCGAAAAGAGCCACAGCCAACGGGTTTGCTCCGTCCGATTTACCGCCCCGAAATTGGAGAATTTTAGACAAATGCTTTTCTCTAACGGTGGACAATCAGCTGATGACTATCCAGTTTTTGTCTCGGCGCCAGACGATGAGTGAAGAACCCATCGACTACCTTCATTCCTTACAGCAAACAACAATCCAAGCTTTCCCTAGCCTAGACTTCTCGGTCCGAGAAGAACTAATACGCTCACGATTTGTAGAGGGGCTTTAGCCGGGTGCATTGCGACAGCACCTGTTATGCATGCCACCTAACAGTATGCAGGACTTTAAAACCACAATCCTACGTCTAATGGTCGTTAATAAGTTATCAAGCAACTGCAACCTACTCGACAGCAACGGCTGTCGAAGAGTCGAGGGTAGCGCATGAATGTGATTCCGCACAAATCACTTCCGCGGTCAATTATCGGCCCGCTAGACAACCATTACGAGTCAGTCAGCAGAATCGAAAGACTGAATGTTTTTACTGTCAACGCTTCGGACGAAGAGCCCGGAAATGTGGGCATAATAAATTCTGGGAGCAAGGTGAGAATAGTTTTTGTCATTTGTCTTCATATTATTCTAAATCCGTATATCCTATAACGATAACGGGTAGCTAGCAGTGGTAGAAACTACTATTCTACTGGATACAGGAGCCTCAGTATCTATTGTGAAAGCAGGATTTCTACGCACACTGAATCATAAGAACCGTGTTCCTCGGCGCTAAAAACAGCTAGCGGTGACCTTATAGAAGTGCACTCCCAAGTGGGGTTAGATGTAACGGTGAACAAAAACTCGTTCCCACATGAATTTTTAGTATACCCCACACTCACCTGGGTTGTGATACTTCGAGTTGACTTCATGTTGAAACACAAAGTCGTCATACATGTGGCTGATGAGACTTTCAAGATAAGTGAAGCGGTCGACACGCTCAACTACTTCACTCCCTATCACTAGGTCGGGTGTCAATGCAACCCAACCCTGAAGCAACATTTTGCATTTCGAAGGAGAGAATCGCATCCCGAACATGACTGCATTGTTGCTTAGAGTGGTCAGAAGACTCTGCATTTTGTCAGCGTCTTCACCAAATAGAACTATATCATCGGCATACTCTAAATCAAGTGGATTTCCCAGTATAAGTTCGACCCCTGGAAATTTAGATGAGTAAAGTATTAGCTCTAAAAGCACATTAACGACAAAGTTATACAAGAATGGAGAGAGTGGAAAGCCCTGACGAACACCATTTGAGGTAATCTATTCTGACGACTGTCCGAAGCAGGTGGTTTTCTTAGGGGCCACACTCCAGACTTAAAGGTCTGATCCACAAGGCAGTGGATTAAAGTTATGAGATGCAGTCCCATGGTAGCTCGTGACCGATAATTGGTTCATACGCCATTTATTCACTTAGGATGCTGTAGCTCATGTGAACCATTAGTTTAAAATGAGAGTTTTTCAACTACCCCTCCTCCCTCCTAGGTGAACTCTTCGTGTCCACCAACCTATTTAAATCATCCTCTCAATTGCATCAACAACAACACTCCAATCGTGAGTACAACTTCCCCACCCCACCTCACAATTGTTATATGCACATAATCATATAAGAGTATTTCAAAAAGGAAGTAAAGTAAGTAAATAGTTCATCATGTTTTAGTGCATGGGCTGGGATACTTCCCGGGTGCCCAAACTGAAGCAAGTGGTTTTCTTAGAGAGTCACACCCCGAGCCTTTGACCTAAAGGTCTAGTCCACAAGGCAGTGGAGCATCGTAAGGAGATGCAGTACCATGGTAGCCGGTGACCAAGAAATTGGTTCATACGCCATTTGTTCCTTCAGGATACTGGAGCTAGCCCATGTGCACCATTGGTTTGCAATCCGGTTAAAGTGTCGGACATTGGCATTTCGTCCTCTCATTTTTAATAAACAACACCCGTGGTGCGAGAAGGCAGTAAGTAAGACTTTCATGGCAGAGGTTATATACGCTTGGCCATGTGAGAGTATTTCGAAAGGTAGGGTGAACACACCCCACTCTCGGTCATATCAGGGCATTTGGGGGTCTTACCTTTTACCTTTTTTTTTCACTTTTCAATCATATTAAAAGAGATTTGATATAGAATATAAACATTATACATATATATATATATATATATATATATATATATATACTTTGATGAATATTACTAATAATCATAATAATATATAAATTATTTTCTTAATTTACGTTGTTGTTTTTCTAATTTACGTGATTTTTCAATAAAATATTGTTCACGTTGTTTTGTTTCATTGAGATACCATAAAAATTGATCTTGTATTGGTTTTTGTAAACAATCTAATTGACGTTGTTTAATTATTTCATCAAATAATTGTTTTATAAAATGTTTTGCTTTTTCTTTTTGAATAGTTGGATTATTAGAATCTATGAATATAGTTAAATTATTTAATAAATTTGTTAATATTTCTTTTTTTTCTATATAGAATTGTTGTTGTGATACCATTAATTTAGCTTTGAATACAGTCATTCTACGAAGACGTCCCTGAATAGAAAAGAAAAGAAAAGTAAAAGAAACAAATCAGAAATGTTACTGGTCAAACTGTTTATTCAATATGAATTTATGGTGTGTACTACTTACTGGTGGTATCATTAAAAACGAACATAAGATGAGAATAAAAGATGTTTTATAAAATAAAACCTTTATGTTATCCGAGTGTAACTGATTCCTGTATACATATTAATCTATTTATTTATCTATTTGAGCATATAAATATTAATACAAAGGGGCAGTAGATACATATGCGCAGCCCTCAAATGCCCTGGTACGGTCGAGAGTGGGGAGAGTACGTCCTCCCTCTCCAAATGCTTTCACATCGCCACGCGTATACAGCCACTACCAGGAAGGTTCTACTCACTGCCTTCTCGTGGCATTACTGTTGTTTACGAAAATGAGGAGACGAAAAGCTAATGTCCGACGCTTTAACCGGATCCCAAACCAATGGTGCACATGGGCTAGCTCCAGTATCCTGAAGGAACAAATGGCGTATGAACCAATTTCTTGACCACCGGCTACCATGGGACTGCGTCTCCTTACGACGCTCCACTGTATTGTGGGTCAGACGTCCAGGTCGAAGGCTCGGTGTGTGGTCCCCTAAGAAAACCACCTGGTTCGGTTTGGGCACCCGGGCAGTATCACAGCCCTCACACATATCAATTTAGATTCGTCTGGCGCATATGTATTTGGCGCCTCCTTGTATCAATACCTATGTGTTAAAATAAATAAATAACACATGCGCTACAAAATAACAATCAGAATGTGAAGAGATAGGGAATATAAAGTGAGTATAAGAAAAAGGGGGACAACAACCAGAAGGAATTTTTTCTAGTTAAAGAAGTTAGGTCTATTTTTTATGAAGAAATTCACAGGAGGTTCGCCACTGGTTTCTATTCTGAGTTATATTTGATAACGCCTTTAGCTACTGTGTTACACCATGTCTAGGACCCTAAGCAGGGAGTCATGAAGGAGGAGCAAAAGCCAGTCCTGTATTGCTTCCTTTTATACCACGATACCATGTCATATACCGACTACCTCTCAGATTTTTCCAACCACTCTTAGAGTCGGCAAATAATACACGACGTGGAATTCTCTGGGACGATATTCGTACAGTATGTCCAGGCCACTGAATTCGAGTGAGAGGTGTTTGTATGCCCTCACTTTGCCTGAGGTATTTGTACATAGGGCTTTCTCAGACACAGCCTTCTTCAATAGACAATTCCAGAAAACAGTCCCGTCTAACGAATTGAATGTGGCTCTGATCTCAAGAAACAGTCGGTCAATCAATCAGCTACAACGTAAGACCAGGTACATATGTTCATCGGTCCAAGTTGCCACACCTCATTAACACAAGAAAATGAACACCGGATTCATAGAAGTAGATACTGCAATAGTAATAATATATAAGAGAAAGATTGCGTATGAAGATATAATACAGGAAGAAAGAATAAGTTCGTAAAAAGAAAGATGTGAATCGATTTTAATCTCATAGTTTAAGGGAAGACATTGTGATTGATTCTGAGTCATGTCACCCTGAGTCTCCAACCTTTGGTTACGATAGTCAAGAAACAGTAGGACTGTTGGCTGCTGATAAGTATGACAGTGTTCTATCATTTGACGGAGCTGCTCTTTGCGAGTCAATCTTTATCGGGTTTTGAACAATCTACGAAGGATGACGGAAGCCAATAATTTGGACGTAATCGGAAGTAGACTTATCCCCTGATAGTTATAAAGAAATGATATAAACCCTTTTCAAAGATAGGGACAATTATCGACTCATTCTCTGATATTGGAACACTTTAATTCCTAAAGCTTTGTAAACAACATAGTCACTTCCTTAACCAGAAAGTCACCACCAGAGGTAATTTATCTGATCCAGGTGTTTTGTTGAGATTCAAGAGTTAGAGTTCTTTGCGCACTTCCTCTTCATTTGGTGGATCAGTCGTCACAGACCATGGATCCCAAACCAATGGTGCACATCGGCCCCAGTATCATGCAAGAACAAATGGCGTATGAACCAATCGTTCGTCACCGGCTACTATGGGACTGCATCTCCTTACAATGCTCCACTGCCTTGTGGATCAGATCTTTAGATCAAAGGTTTGGAGTGTGGTCTCCTAAGCAAACCACCTGCTTCGGTTTGGGCACCCGAGCAGTATCACAGCCTACACACAAATAAAATGAAAATTTGTGTGGTGCATATATATTTGGTGCCCTCTTGTACCAATATCTATGTATTAAAATAAAAAATTAAATAAATAATCTGAATATCTTACCTGATAACATTCATTTCGAAAAGCATTTTTACGTTGAACAATTGGATCATCTATAGGTAATCGATAAGGATCTATATGTTCATAACGAATAATTTTTAAAGCTGTTGTAATTCTATTAAATTCAGATAAATTTGTAGCACGTAATAATCTTAAACTACGTTGTCTAGCTTTTATAAGACATTTTGTTGCAAGTTTTAATGTAATACACTATAAATATAGAGAATATTATTAGAAAAGATTATTATACAAATCTTACACGTGGATGTTCTTTTAAACGCCACTTTTTATAACGTAATTCTAATGTCATTCGTACAACTAATTAATAATAAATAAGATTCAATAGAATATGATATATATTCGATTACTTTTAGCAGCTAATGAATCATTTGTAGGTTCAAAGTTTAAATCTTTTAATAGTTCATTAAGATTTTCTTGAAATTCTTCTCTCTATTTTCAAAAAACAATCGAGTATAAAATAACAAATGAATTGAATAAACAAAAAAAAATACAATTTACTTTATATAAAAATTTATAAGTAAACATCTTTTTACATTGTTCATCTAAACTTGAATGAGAATAATATTAATAAAGAAAAGTATTAAATAGAAGGAGAGAATACCTTTGAAAATCTTTTAATGATTGAACAGATTGAAGATATTCATCATTAGATTTTGGTTTGTATGGTTCATTTTCCCCTATAATTTTTTTTTATTTTTGGAAAGGAATAAGAAAGAAATAATAATAATAACTTACAATCTCTATCATATACAAATGGATTTTTAGGTGGATTCAGAACACGTGGTCCATTTAAATAACGTAAATACCAACGATTTACAGATGAGGAACTACCTAAATAGAAAGATTATATATATATACATATAGGACAAGAACACTTACAAATATCTTTTGTACATTCTGAAGAATTAAGTAAACTTTGAATCGTCGGACATTTTAACAGAAAACTGATTGACTTGAACATGATGATAGATAGATAGATAGATTTTAACACATTCGAATTGATTGAATTCTGAAAGTGTATCAATTGTTTTATATAAGTGAAAATAATACTTAATTTATGAAAATTAAGTAAAATAAAAATTAACAGTTATAAGTATTTTAGTTTCATACATTTAAGACAAGTGTCGTAGAAACGAAACAACGACTTAAAAGATTTCATAATAATTTTATTCAAATTCTATTATACAACAATCTTTTAAGATTTTTGTGTCTATTAGTTAGCATAGAGATAAATAAACTGTAAATAAACTAAGATCATTTTAAATAGTTCAAAGAATTTTGAATAATAAGACTCCTCAGCAGAGGAGTCCTACAGTCAGTTACAACGTAGGATCAAGCATATATATGCATCGGTCCAACTTGCCACATCTCATTAGCACAGCAAGATGAATAACGGATTCATAAAAGTAGTTAACTCAATGGTGGTAATATATAAAAGATAGATTGAATGTAAGGCTATAGTACAAGAAGAAAGAATTAGTACATAGGAAGAAAGTCCCACAATAGGACGAAACGGCTGTCCAGTGCATCCAGGTTTTTCATAGTGGTCTAGCTTTAATGGACTCATGATCTAAACTATTAAAATTACTATAATATCCACAAAACGCCTTCTGATACTAATAAGACAATTATTTTAGGAAAAAATTTCATTGAAAATTCAAAAAACCACGACTAGATAAATATAATTCAGGAGTTCATCCGTGTGAAAAGCGACTCGTGTCTCTTGAAATGTGTTCATAGAATTGGTTATGTCATGAAGCATTATCCCAGCATCGGTTAAAGGATAACTTAATCATGCTGGACGGAATACTAAGAGACAATTTCTAGCCTACTCTGTTATATCTTCATTTTAAGGTAAGTCAACCCATAAGACCATAGCCAACGTTAAAGCTATGTTATACTCCAGAAAACGTACAAACTTCTTTAAAATCACCACTTGGTGCATAGATTTACGATCGGGAGTTATAGTTTACACCACAAACTGATATCAGCTATCAAGCCAAAATCCCAATGTACATACCTCGAGTCCAAGTCTGAGCATAATGAATATTTTATCAACTTTTGCTGTCTCTTGATTAACTTAACAGATTATGTACATTATGGGATTTCTAGTGTACCAATCCAAATTACCTAGATATGGCCTTGTTCATTTAGCAGAACTCTGTAGCTTTGTGCGCATATAAAGCACTCTTGTAAACGTGACAATATTTAGCAAAGATGAAAGTTAATTGGCGAGACTAAAATTTATGGACGAACCAATTGAATTTACGATAACAAGTCTTGATTTCGACGTGAAATTCTTTATCCATTTGCCTAAATAGTGTCTTGGCATTTAAGATTATGTCGGTTAGTGATGAAAAACCTGAATCTAATCCCTATCCTTCACACAGGTTTAAAACTCTCTTTTAGCCCTAATCAGTAGGTGAATATTCTCAAGGCCACCTTAGCGTCGCTCAAACGTCATCCATAAATTAGTCACACCGGTTATTTGGGCATGATTCTGCTGAGCCACTATGGACTTGCCTTCCCACTTACATGTACCACGCTGAGAGGAATTAAGTGCACGAAATGAGATCATATCGGAGTTCATATAGACTCAACAATTAAGAAACATTATTAATAGATAACCCACTACCCATAAATTCTTTTGAAAATTACCGCGAACGTCAAAACAACTACACTTCCAATCAAAATATATGCGTCTAAACGCCTGTTTTCTAATAGATATGAAGGAAAACATGGAAATTTAAGGCCAAAAGAAAAGGACTGCATGTGCAGCTTATGTAAGCAGACAAAAAAGGTAGAAAATTAGACATGTATTTAGACGAAAAGCAGAACATCCGGCGACATGTCAAACGCAAAATGACAAAAGAGTGGAATTTCGCACTATTTTCTTCCTGAAGGTGAAACGGGACATTTTTGCTCGTTTTCTGTTAATTTACTCCTTACTTTCTTACAACCGTCTCATTCAACTTATTCTTAGTTCCCCTAAATTTTGCTGTCTTCAGTTTATTGAACCCCATAGCTTCCAATTTTGTGGAAAATTTGACCCGTTTTAGGGAAGCCACTATAGTATACTTTGGGGATATATAAGAAGTATCTTTTTGTAAGAAATGTACAAAGTTATTCACGATTAGAAGTTAAAAATTATATTCAATAGAAGAGATAGTGAGTACAAGCTAGAAATTTTCAAAACATACAACAACAATGTGATGTAACAACACGAGGCGTAAATGCCGCCTTCAATACTCAATAACTTCAACACGTATTCGTGTTTTTGATTGTGCTTAGCATATACTAGTATAGCCATTCGACTGGACCAATTATAGACATTTTTATGGTTATTTTGGATTTACATATTTTATAATCACATACCTGGACAATATCATCGATGAATAAAAAGAATCTGGTGCAGGTGTAAAGGCAAAGTAAAGACCGCATTGTTAAAATTGATGAAGATATAGGATTCAGAAATACCATCAACAAATATCAAAACTAGAATCTTCAATACGAACGTTCAGTCAATTATACTGTACGGAGCTGAAACTTGGAGAACTATAAAAAACGTCGTCCAGAAAGTTCACGTATTTCTGAACAATTTTTTACGCAAGACACTGAATGTCTACTGGTCGGATACCATCAGCAGTAGCCTACTCTGGGAGAGAACAAACCAGTTTCCGGCTGTTGAGGAAATGGGAAAAAATGAGGGATATAGATCGAACATATATTGCAAATATCACTAAACTGCATCACGAGGCAAGTGCCGGCATAGAATCATGAATGTAAGCGGATAATGGAAGGATAAATTGGACACTACTTCGACAACTGGAAGCAAACATGAGAAGGATGAACAGCAACTGGAAAGAGAACCGCCAAGGACAGGTTTGGATGGAGAGTGCTGGTGAGCGGCATGTGCTCCTCCATAAGCAGTAACAGGCGGAAGTATGAGGAATTGGACCTATACTCCTCAGGCTCAATAAACCGTAATCTATGATAATCTAAGCTTAGGTTCCTTGTGGTCTTCCGGCGCTTATCCAGGCAAATAATATACTTGCGAGAGCGTTATACGGGAGTGTTAACTCTATGAAAAAAACTTCATTAAACAGGTCAGGATTGCAGGTCAGCTGCATAAATTCATGCCGTACAATTATTATTTTTGGCTTCAAAGTCCGGCGTGAATTTTTGATAACTGTCAATCGAAAACTATTTTTTCCGGCACTTCTAACGAAATTTCTATCCTGTAATTGCCTTTGGCGTTATCTCTTAATGATGTATTCTCAGCGCCTTCACACCGTGGTTTCGAGTGTCAGGAATCTGTTCATTGAATTCAAATACATGACGAAAGTCCTTGATCGTGAACACTAGGTTAATAATTAGTGGCATTGGTTCCAAATCACACGATCTTTGAAGCCGAGTACATAGTTACCGAAAAGATTTATATTCAACATGTGACAAAAAAGGATGGACAACATTGGTTAACGCTAAATATTCATTCCATTAATTGGCATGGTTTGGCTCGGACTTGCAGGCGTGGTCATTCTTGTGTAACCCATACCCTTCTAAATTAAGTATATTATGCTATCCTCGGACAAAATGTGTTATTCCTGGGTACAAAATATCATATTGCCCATCGTCATAATACGATGAGCCTGTGTAAACAATGATGTGACCTCCACGTAAGATCTTATAGATCAGGTAGTTACGCCATTACAAATCTGAAATTTTGATAATGGGTCCTTATCAAATCTTGCAGTTTGTATTTTATTACAAAGGTTTAAATGTTCTACTTTAGTTCCAATTCAGATATTTTGTTATATGATTCGCTGAAATCGATGAATGTTACACTGACCTACATATGAACAAACAGTTATCTCTTCAGTCACCATCAACTGAACGTTTACAGTATTAGATGCTGAACCGATTATCAGAGCAAATAATTTGTTCTTCGAGGAGTAAAGTCGTCTCGCTGGTTATTCATTTATTCACTTGAACACATAAATATTGGTACAAGAGCGCACCAATATTTTTGCGCCACACAATAATAATAACAATAATAGCAATAATAATAATATGGATAGTTTGATTGTTAGTCGAAGCAAGAAAAGCATTTTCCACGAACACCGATATTTCATCATATTTGTTTGTGGGCTGTGATACTGTCCGGGTGCCCAAACCGAAGCAGGTGGTTTTCATAGGGGACCACACTCCAAACCTTTGACCTGAAGATCTGATCCACAAGGCAGTGGAGCATCGTGAGTAGGTGCAGTCCCATGGTAGCCGATGACCAACGATTGGTTCATACGCCATTTATTCTTTCAGGATACTGAAGCTAGCCCATGTGCACCATTGATTTGGGATCCGGTTAGAGCGCCGGACGTTCGCTTTCGTCCTCTCATTTTCGTAACCAACACCCCTGCCACGAGAAGGCACTGAGTATGACTTCCCTGGCAGAGGCTATATACGCATGGCCATGTGAGAGCATTTGTAGAGGGAGAGCGGACTCTCTCCACTCTAGGCCGTACCAGGGCATTTGGTGGCAAAGTGAGAACCGCTCCTGGGTGGACTCGAACCACCAACCTTCCGGTCGACAGACGAACGCGCTAACCGGTTGAGCGACAGAGGCGCTAGAGTTCTATAGGATTGACCTTTTAAACTATGAAAGCGACCTTTATTATGTATTATGCTAAGCTTCAGGGAGACTTTCGAAAAAATAGGATTGGTGAACACTTCAGGAGGAAAAATCTGACTTACAAGCTGGTTGGATAACACAGTATTCAGTCTGAATCATAAAAAGTACGAAGCAAACTTTTTTCGCTATCTTGCAAACAGCAAGTACAAGATTACTTACTCATCATCGATCATACTATTGTTTCTTTATTTCATAGCCTAGCTGACAATAACAACCAGTTAAGGGTCGCCAAAGTAAAGCTGATTCATGGCAACTCTAAAGAGGTCTAACAATGCTGAAAAATTAAATTTATTAGAACGGTTCATTATTTAGTTTCTGAACACACCAACTAACGGCGCTGTGAACTACAGTTGAGACTCAGGTCGGATAATTCCTCTGTAGTCATCGCCTCTACAAGAACTCAATAGAGCACGAGTTAGGACTTTTGCCAACAAAAGCCTAGATACTAATGGTAAATATCAGGGAGGTGTAATAAAAGCCAATGCTACTTTTACTTTTTCCCCACTTAGGTTCCAGAGCTAAGCTATTTGAAATCAACAAGTAACCTGTTGTTAGGCCGAAAATATTATAGCCATTCTATATATGTATTACGGTTTCGAATTTCGACTTTTGAACTATTAAGTTTCCGTTTTTGAATGGTTAAACCTTACTAGCTCTTTGTGTTGTGTAGTAAAGGAAAATATCAAACTCTGAAAGCCTTTCTTTCATATTGTTACTTTTTGTTCTCGACTCTGAAGAAATCCAGACTGGTGGTTTTAGCAAGTTTCTATCCAGATCGTGGAACAGAATATTTAGAGGATGAGATTGTCATTCGAAACACGCAAAACATTCGGCATACAACATAGGATAATAGGATATATAATGTCTGCACGAAATAAGGACGTAAGCGAATACTTCAGCTGCAATGTTTTGACATTGCCAAGATGTTTTCGACCAACTCTTAGTCACCCAACTCAGGTTGTTACAACCCTTTCCACAACGTAGGTAACATAGAATTCATCGTCTTTCTTCATGTCTGCTTGCCATGGAGTTCATATTCGATAATTCCGCCCGCTGTCACTTTATGGCCACTCTAGCATGTCACATAAATTACAAACGTAGTTTGGCTGCCTATCTCGTTCGTATTATTATGGTCCAGATCAATTTCAGCACATTTATTTTTGATACTATAATAATAGGTCTAATCCCAGAATTTCAGATTTGTCATGATGTGACTGCCTAATCCATCAGACATTATGTGGAAGTTACATCCGAGTGTACACCGACTCGTCTTACGTGACAATCAGCAGTAAGACGTCTAGTACTTCTAAAGGACACAAATGGGCTGGGAAGATAGATATATATTTGATTGCATGCAGCGACCATGTTGTATGGCTTTTCCATAAAATTTCGATCACTTATCCCCGCGTTCACTACTTTCACTTTTCTTATGTTCAGCTTCGAGTATCGTTTGGTTAGGACTATTACCATCACAGGTCTCTAACTAAATTGAAGCGTGCTCTTCTATCAACTTAGACTTCATAAATGTTTTTACTAATCTTCTAAATGTGTTGTGTCCGTCTTTCCTAAAGTGCTCGACAAACCTTGGCTATTTTTTCTAAGATGGCAACAAATTTTTCAGAGTTAGCTTCCTTGCTAGCCATCATGAACTTATCGTCAGCTCCTGCCAACCTGTTGCGAAAATCCAGTGGTAGAACTGACAACATCATTTCCGAATCGGATGTGAAATCTACATTGGACAAATATCCCATTTGTTTCAGTATATACATATATTTCGCAACTTTACCTCGTAGTCGGTCAAATCAACAGCTGAACATCCAGCAGGTTTATGGTTGAGTAAATGCCAATGAACTGACTAACAAACCGGCAACAATGACCAGGTCGCCCGTCGAAATGCACAATATCAATACTGAGTAGATCAACATCACTAACAATGGTATACATTGTATCCTTAACCTATTGAGACTATTTCCCCTTTGAACTGGTGAGTGCCTTTTCCAAATGAACATTAAAACTAGTGCTACACTTATTATTTACTTCACAACTACACATAAGCAACTGGTTAGCCCCCTCCCAAATCTGACGATAAGTCAACAAGCTCGGCCACATCTTGAATTTCTGATATCTTAAACTCTCTTTTCAATTCGAGCCAATTTTCCAGTTGTTTCTTCTTGAGTATTGCCTTACTTAACCTGAACTAATCCTAGCAAAACCCATACTCTTGTCACTAGTGCATTCGTCAATGCTCAAGAAATAGCGAATCTCAATTAATTATCAATTCAGGTACTATCGAAGACCCCGAGTTTCCTGACCACTTTGGACAAAACCAAAGACCTGGAATCATAGCATAGGATTGAGGTGAAATCGCAAGCAAAAAATTTCTCTGCGTCAGCTCATTGAGAAGATATTTGATATCATTCAATCATGTTTCTGTTTCCTTCAGGAAATTCGCGTATTGTCCAAGACTATATGCTAAGGTAAAAATGCGTTTTTCGAGACAAACGAGTGCCGGTAACCTTGGGATTCATTGCTAGCCAAAGTGAAACAACAGACAAAACTTCGTAGCGCATCCGCAGATGGGCGAAATAGTCTCTTAGTGGTTTCTTGTCCCGATTTTACAACTAATGGGTGGAAACGCAAGCACTGGACTCCTTGGGATATAAGAGACGCAGATGCGACCTTATTTTGACTCACTCTTGTATAAGCAACCTGTTGGCTGCGTAGGTCAGATAGGTAAATATCCTTGATTGCAAGGGGAATGTTGACGTCATATGTCATGACTTCTAGAAAGCTCTTAATAGGGTCAATCGTATGTGTCTTGCCAATCTGCTCAAACGATTAGGTATCAAATCACTTTTAATTGATTGGCCTACTTCATATCTCAACGTTTTAGGGCACAGTCTACGGGATGTCCTAAAGAAAGCCCTTGGGGCTCAATTCTAGGACCTCTTCTTTTTTGAATTTATATCAATAATCTTACACAGCAGGTTTCGTTAGATTTACTACTTTTCACTGATGATGTGAAACTCTGGGAAGAAGTTTGCGATAAGGAGGAAAAATTGTCACTTTAGGAGGATAATACTTGACCTCAAAGTTAGGAAAACAACGTCAGACTTGTTTTTAACACTTTGAAGTGTAAAATAGTCCATTTGAGACATTTTGCAGCCTACGAATACATCTTAGCTGACCCCCTCGACGGATACCCCAAGTTAAAAAATCTAGGAATATCTGAAGTCTTTCGCTAACTGCGACAAATGTGCCGACTGAGCTAGTCCAAGCGACTTTTCATGAGTCCTTCAGGAGGAAACTTGATATATTCTTAAGGACTAAGGACAATATCTCGCTACAATTTTCTAGTTTTTTCCTCTTTTATCGTTGAACATACCTAGGTTTTTACTTGAAGGCATCGGTGATCCGCTGATATTAGATACGGATGCTCGTTAAGCGAAAGCTTCTTCTATTACGTTTAGAAACATGTGAACCATTGGGAATTGAATCCAAGTTTGTGGCTTTTTAAGCTGTTCGTTACGTCATGCTGTAAGATTTATGGGAAAGAAAAACAAAAATAGAAGAGAGCTTTACCAGACGTCGGATAATTCTGGTAATTTCTAAAAATTAAACATTTTTGGCTCAGGAGACAAGGCGAACTTTCGTAACAATGTGAAAGAAACTGTACCAGTCAAAGTAACACGTCTTTGGAAATAATTTTTAGGGTCTTCATAATCTAGGCAACACATGTTATCTTAATGCTGCCCTTCAATGTCTTGCAAGGAGTCCATGGCTCTTAGATTTGTTGGTTGTTGATGAGCCCAGAGAATCTACTCTGACTAGACCCAATGGGGTAAACTTTAAAATCCGGCTTTATTGTTTCAGGACTCAATATCTACGTTATGTGTTTCCCTACCACTAATGAAGTGCCCACTGACAACTCAATTTAAGGAACTTATTTCTGTTTTAAAGCCTGGTGAACTGTCAAATTCCAAGATGAGCTCTTCTAACACAATTAGTCCTGGGGTTTGTTCTAGCAACTAGTTCTAGAATTTTCATCTAAGATGTTTCGAAATGTGTTTGTCGAACGTTGTCCTCGATTCAGTGGATTCGGGCAACATGATAGCCATGAATTAATTCGTGCTCTATTGGACTGCTTAAAACAAGAAGAACTTTCACGCTGGAAGAAGGGAATTTTACTCAAACTCAATGTTAACCCAAAAGTTAGTCAATTATTTAGCCTAATTACCGGAATCTATTCTGCACAAACGTATCCGTGTATAAGAATTTCTCTCAGGGCTTCGAACTTAACATTTCTTAATCATTTAGTGTGTAATTATGATGTCGTAGCAAGTCCTTATCTTGATGACAAACACTTCATTCTTTTTCAAAAGTTTTCCTATAGACACTCATTCATTAGGCCTAAGTTGTTGAACCCCATTCTGTAGTTCAGTTGTACCAGTCACCACGTTTTGTTGCCTCATTCCACAGACAATTTAGTATGAAATGGGCTGCGGATATCAAGTTTGATTTCAAAATCTGCTCAAACTTCTTATACTTAGACCACACTTGTTAATATGATAGTTGTATCGATTGACCGCTTGTTTATTTTAGGTCATACCCTGTTTTCGCTTTTGAAAGGGAGTTATTAGTCAGTCTAGATTACGGTTGCGTCTTAGAAACATCTCTGTTCCCATACATTGGTTTTATAAATAAACAAAGATCGTCTACTTAGGGCTTACCACGACCATGCGTTAGCCTTTGTAGCCATACATAAACATGACGCAATGTGGTATGGACGGTAAGATAAGACCGAACTTATGAACATGGTTTGTAAAGACAGTTGGGAAGTATGTATGAGATGTTGCTGTAATTCGAAATCGAGAGGAAGTTAACGAGTATATGCTACTGCACCATTGTAAATTGTCCCGGACCATGTCATTTAAAGTCTCTACTGGGATAAATATGTAAACAGATTTTATCGTATTTTTATTATCGTTTTTAAAGATACCTGAGGGTTAATTTGTGAGTGTTTCCACTAAATTCAAACGTGCAACTTGTCACATTGTTAATCAGGCTACAAAACAAATAAAACGTCAAGGGACAGAGTAATCTTATTACCTGATATTATGATTGATCGTTGAATCCAACTTATTTTCATCTAGAGTACGAACCATTGTTGTCTCAAATTATAGGAATTTGTTTATCGGCGGCAATGATAAGTCAGTCAAAATGTATTGATTTGGATGGTCGACTTGCTTGTTTCCTATCTAGTTACAACATACCTGGGCAAATGATTTTGTCTAGATTAATGACGGCTATAATTTGAGACCGATTATGAATCAGTGCAATCATTTATTGTCAGCTTAAGCCTCATATTTTTGAAATACAGAGCTAATTTTCCAAAACAATGTGAATCAATAGTCCGACATCTTAATTGACGTACTGAGGAATCTATCCAAGTCACATGGTCACAGTCACCTTTTTCTCTACACATGTAAAAAACGTTCTGTTTTCACTATGCAACCTCCTATCTTTTCAGTGCTCTATTTCTGTGCTTCTGCTTTTTAGCTTAAAAATGTGGTTTATTGAGACAATATGTCACTATTAAATTCCTGATGCATCTAGGGAATATTGGGCCCTTTGTCTTCATATAAAACTATATAGCGTAACGTTTTAAATGTGCCAAATATCTCCACGTTTATCTGTTCACCCAGTAAATAATGTGACATGCAGAAATAGTGGGGTAAATACATAATGTTTATATGCTGTACTTGTTAAGTTGATATTATGGAATTATTTAACCAAGTGATAAACATCTGAATTGAAACTACGCTTTTATTATATGAACGGCGTTATGGTGACCAGCATTTTCTTTCGATCATTAGTTTAATGTAGAGTAGTTACACGACGTACATAACTTTACTATAAGCTGTAAGACACCAATGCTTAGACCTTGTAAGATAAGAGGTTTCAAGTTCGGACTTCAACTTTACACAACAATTGAGATTTCATTTTCTCTTCACTATATAACAGGACGTTCGTGATGATGAGAAAGAGTCTATTCGCAATTGGGGAAAAGCAGCTTCCATAGCCACGATTATAGACCGACTTTTCGGCGGGATTCTTGTCAGTACAATACAGTGTTGTTGTTGTGGTACTGTTCGGCCTAAATTTGAACCATTTCTGGACCTTTCATTGTCTGTTTCTGATACCAGTCTTTCAAAACGCAATATAAATGATTCTGTGTCTAAACAGCATTCTAAAGGTTAGTTTGCTAAATGTTTGAGCTCAAATTCTACTTCCATGTCTAGTTTCTATACCCTTTAACTGTTAAACAGCTGTCAAAACGAAAAACATCATATCAAAAAATTTTCTGTCACAAACCATTTGATAGGTGGACATTTTCGGTATAACAGATGATCTCTCTATTTCAACTTGAAAGTGGTTTTCATTGATCGGCGTCTTTATGAGTTTAGTAAGTGTTATACACTTCAAAGCAGTTTGGGAGGCTCATTCACCAGGTAATCAAGTGTAGATCACGCTCTAGGTGTGAGGGATGATGATACTACCAGCTTACTCAAACCCAAGTTGTGTTGCGTTCAATCCTTGGATGTAATTGCCGAAAGTCGACGTAACTACTAAGTTCTAGTTCTAGTCGGTAAATGCAAACTACCTGATTGGGGTCCTTTCAATAACCGCGACCGTTGGTTGAAGACTTTGGGCAACATGGCTTAAAATCGGTCAGTGCGGCGAAAACGCATTCAGTATCTTCTTGTGAACCTCAGGTTCCAGTATTCCTTCATACATGTCTTTCCACTTCGTCTTCTTGAAGGATGTCTCATCTTTCTTGTTGGCATTGCCATTATGATTATTCTGATTTCTTTATCATTCATCCGGTCGATCTTTTCATTTTATCTCATAGGTACCTCCAGTTCCAAACAACTTCGAAAAAAGGAAGTAAGTATATTGTCTATTGTAATTATAAATGGAAATCAGTGTACTGAGTATAAAAATTATGAGTTTGTATTACCTTGTCGGAAAAGACAAGAAACAATCCAGCGGGAAGAGTTTCCTCTTCGATATTTTCATTTACTTAAGCTGTACAATCGTATTCATGGTTAATTTATTTGCTCAAAATAATAGTTAATAATAAAACAAAAACAGAATAATTAAGATTTATTTATTTGTGTACTATTTTATTTATTTGAACACATAAATATTGATACAAAGAGGCACCGAATACATGCGCGCCACACAAGTCACTTGATTTGTACGTGGGTTGTGATACTGCTCGTGTGCCCAAACCGAAGCAGGCGGTTTTCTTAGGGGGCTACACCCAAAACCTTCGACCTAAAGGTCTAATCCACAAGGCAGTGGAGGAACGTCAGGAGATGCAGTCCCATAGTAGCCGGTGACCAACAATTGGTTCATGTGCCATTTGTTCACTGAGCATCCTGGAGTCCATGTGCACCATTGATTTGGGATCCGGTGAAAGCGCCAGACATTCGCTTTTCGTCCTCTCATTTTCCTAGACAACAACCCCGCCACGTGAAGGTAGTGAGTAGGACTTCCCTGGAAGAGGCTATATACGCGTGGCGACGTGAGAGCATTTCGAGAAGGAGGACGGGCCCACATCACTCTCGACCACACCAGGGCATTCGGGGGCGATTTTATATTGGCTTTCTATATATCAATGTTTGTAGCGAGTCATTACGTCTCATTTTTTACGAAGCATTCTGAACCCGACGTCTTTTTATCTTAATATTATTTTCATCAAATTATAGCGTAAACGTAAAACTCAAAAACAACGAAAACGTCAAAATTTTATACATGATCATCAATCAGATCAGGAATGTTTAGATCAGTGCAGTTCAGATTCAGATAGTCCAAAAACAAAACATATTGATCATTCACCATTGGATACATTTATTGCAAAGTGTTGTGCTGATGTAACAACTCTAGATGTGGATAGTAAGCGAGTAGAGAATGTGAATGGGGATCTTGGCGTAGATGAGCATCAACATGAAGATAATAATGGTAACGATGATGTAAATAAGAATGGGGAGAATTTGTCGAATTCGAATGAATGCGAGCTTTCAAGTGAGTAAAAGTTTAATTGTTTCTTATGAGTTTCTATTTTTACTTGTTGAATTTTTATGAATTATTCGTAGTTTTTCTGTGGAAAGGATTTCACTACGAAACTACATCTTTTTACGAAGATTATTTCTGAAAGAACTTAGTTCATTCATAATGGTCACTTTTGTTTGTAACCAGTGAAGCTGGTGTTTTAGTAATTCGTCAGTCAGTCAGTCAGTCACTCAGTCAGCTACAGCGTAGGACCAAGCACATATATGCATCGGTCCAAGTTGGCATACCTCATTAGTGATTAAATTATGTAGATATTTTTTAGTGATTAGCAACATATGTCTACTATAAATACGTCAGTATAACTTATCTCAGTATACCAGATAAAAACTCAAATATAATGGAAGTTTGAAGCTTAGAATCAAATCTCTAGTAAAAATTACACTCACTGATCAAATGAAAGGGATAAAACGTGCTAGATACTACATGCTTATTCAGGATTTAAAAGTGATATATATATATATTAGGAAAAATCGTTTGGAACTGGGAGTCATTAAAAAGAGAATTAGAAATGTTTTGTACAACATGCGTGGGACTTTCCGAACGTGGACTAGACACTTCAATCAAATACACAGAGAAAACAGGACGCTAAACACAATAGTCGAGTGAGTCTTCCGCTAGGGATAATTACAGATACTCCAATGGCAGGAACCCCAACTGACACTCATAGTCACTGGATATCAAAGTTCGGACGCCTCAGAAAACCAAGTAGACCAGAAGAAAAGGTCTTATTTTCTGAAAGGGGGCAGGTGTTTGGGAGACCCATACAATTCCTCGAAAAAGCCAAAAAGTGTTCTGAAAACTTCGGGAAGGACCTTATCCAATCAACAGTCACTAGAAGTTTTTCCAAAAATATCTAGAAAGTGACAAGTCACATATCGCGTTTCTGATTGGATGATTACCCATACTGCTACTATGTTTAGTAGCATTCCATAATTTTCCGGAAACCCAAAACCATGTACACCGTTGACTTGGAATAACGATTTTCTAACTCCTCTAGGTGAATCCTCCACATCCACCAACGTGGTTAAACCGTCGGTCATTCGCTTTTCGTCTTCTCAATTTCGTAAATAACACCCGTAGTGCGAGAAGGCAGTGAGGACTTCCTTTACAATAGTTGTATACGCCTGACCAATTGAGAGCATTTGAAGAGGGAGAGCTAACTCTTCGTACTTGCAGTCGTACCAGGGCATTTGGGAGCTTGATCATAAAATGTACTACTGTAAATTATCAACAAAATAACTGTTATAATTTATTCGCCTAATGATGATTTATGAAATTTAGATACTCTATAGTACTTATAAGTAATTTATATTTTAATGCATAATTTCTTGTGTTTCATTGATTAGTTGTAAAACAAACCATTTTCTGTTAGGGTGATGTTATTTTTTTTGTTATATTGAGTTGTGATAAGTCTTCTAATTGAACGCTAGATTCGGTTTCCTAAGCTCTTCTGGTACACCCAGGCTAAATCTACACAGTGACTTGAACACTAGAGAGACCCCAAATGCCCTGATACGGCCGAAACTGGGGAGAGTCAGCTCTCCCTCTCTAAATGCTCTCAAATGGCTACGTGCATACAACTACTGACAAGGAAGTCCTAGTCACTGCACTCTCAAGGTAGGGATTTTGTTTACGAAAGTGAGAAGACGAAAAGCAAATATTCGACACTTTAACCACGTTGGTGGACATGGAGAGTCAACCTAGGGTAGTTGGAAATCCCTCATTCCAAACTAATGGTGCACATGAACTCCAGGATCCTGAGCAAACAAATGGCGTATAAACCTATTGTTGATCACCACCTGCAATGGGACTGCATCTACTGACGTTGTTCCACTGCCTTCTAGATCAAACGTTTAGGTCGAAGGCTCTGGGTGTGACCCCCTAAGAAAACCACCTGATTCGGTATAGGCACCCGGACAGTATCATAGGCCAAACACAAATCAAGTGATTTGTATGGCGTATATGTATTTAGTGCCACTTCGTACCAATATTTATATGTTTAAGTAAATAAATCAAAATGTACATTACTTACACTTGATTAGAATTAACATTTTCTTAATCCTTTTAGGTGAAACATTAAACCAAAGTTTTTGTGATGAAGAAGCATCCTCAGACGGTAAGCTGTTTACTTTTTTTATCTTAGAAAAAAGAATTCTAATTTGTACTTTTTTTAAAACGGTTTTTACTGATATTCATATCTGGTTAGGAAATAGGATTTCTTAGCATGAATGTGTTGCAATCACTGGGAAGTTAGAAAATGAAGTAGCTTTTGATTTCAAGTAACAATGAACTCTTAATAGGGTCTATTTACAGAAAACAAACATGGAATGACTAACTAACCCATTTCCATAACTCGGTTCCTTTTCATGTTACTAAATGCGTTGAGGAAGGATTTGAGTTTCTCAGAAGAATATTGGATGAAAATAGCTATTCAAGCTACTTCATGGAGAAGATTATGAAAGAAATCTGGAACAAAGAATTCAGAAATATCTTTATATGAATCTGGAATTTAAAGGTGACCAAACCTCTGATATATTCAAAAATTAGCTGTCAACAGCTATTAAAAGAATATTCTGTGTAGCGACTGACATTGACTAACAGGTTTGTATCTGTATAGGATAAAGTTCCTCATCTGGTTTCCTCTATGTACATCTACCAGCTCATCTGCTCTTGTGAAGCAAGTTACATAGGCCATAGTCGGCAATCAATCTCAATTCGCGGTTTAGTTCTACCAAAGTTTGAAGTTCTATTCTTGAACATTTAATCAATTCTAATCCCTCTAATGACCTGCAAGCTTAAGATTATTTATAGAATTCATCCACATCTATCAAGATGTCTTTGTATTCAACTCTTTAAAACAACAGAAGGGATTAATACTGAAATTTCATACTATATATACGATTTTTACCCTTCGGGGTGTATAAGTCGATGACTAGGAGATTCTTCAATCAACTCTACCCTAGAATCTGTTTTCCAGTTGTTTCTTAAGTGCTGTTCATTCTTTTGATGCCTGCTTCCGATTCCCAATATAATATGTCCTTTAAATCTGTCTCTATTGCTTTCGCTCTGAGATTTCCAAGTTAGGACTTACTTTGATGCAGTTTGATCCTTTTGGATTTGTAATAATAAGACATACCTTGAATATTTATGGATCAAATGAAACCTTAGAAATACGATAATTTGAAGGCACGATAGTATGAATATCTAATGACTGTACTATGAAAATATAAATAGTAATCCTTCGTATGATCGTCCCACTAGTTATCTTGTTATTTCATCAGTCGTATACTTTATTTACTTGCTCTTTCGTCAATCATCTTAAGATAACATGGATATAAATGCAAACATAGTGATTTATTCAGTTTGTTTCACAGACGTGTTTTAGTTAGACTACCGTTTAAAACCAGGAAGGACTGGACAGCTGTTTTATTGTAGTATGGAACTTCTTACTGGTGCCCATCTACGATATCACTATAAAGAATTGAACCCTAAGAGCTTCAGGTCTCGTGGCTAGCACTTGATATTCAAATAATTGAGTCGGCATCCAGTAGCTAACATTTCTAACTTCGGTCAATTTATGATATTGTACTTCTATCATTCAGTGACACTAGTAAGTAACTCCCTCATGATTGACATGATCAAACTCCACTGATTACCACTTTTCACTAGGACGTCAGTAGTTACGTCTTGTGAGGACGGCTCCCAGTGATCTTAAGGGGGCTCTGAAAGAGTCGAAGATATTCCATCCAATCATCATTTGGAAGAACATTCCGGAATCTCGACATATACCTTCCCGATTAGAGAGATGCTAAAAACTAATGCCTGCGAATTGAATGATTGTAATGATTATTTCGTTTATACTAGAAATTACAAATACCCGATTGTTTTGTATCATATCTGATACTTCTTGGAATAAGATTCCTTTCCACTCGTCTTCTGTCTTCTAACCTGCGACTTGGAGGATTCAAATGTTTGAGTGTTCAAGTTGTACGCGGTTTAGGAAAAATTTAACTTTTATACATAATACGTCTCATAATAAGTACTTAGTGCAGTTCGATTTTCTTTGTTTTATAGATGCTTTTATGATTCTATACTTTCCCTCAATCACTGATTGTGCCTGTCTATAAGAAAGGACAAAAGTCTTCTTGTGACAGTCATAGAGGAATTAGTTTGACTAATATAGTGTCTAAAATATTAGCTTCAATAATACTTCGACGTCTAACCAAAGCTCGTGAAGAGCAGACTAGAGAAAACCAGGCTGGTTTTCGACCTGGACGTGGTTGTATAGATCAAATATTCACACTACGTCAGGTCCTAGAACATAGACACACATTCAGACGCCCCACAATGGTAGTATTTCTCGAACTTAAGGCGGCATTTGACTCTGTTGGTCGTGAGGTTCTACGGCAGTGTTTGTCACTGAAGGGAGTACCAAAGAAGTACATCAACCTTATAAAGGCTCTCTACTCGAACACAACTGGTCGAGTGAGAGCTTATGGTGAACTGTCATCAGAATCGATTACCTCAAGTGGTGTTCGTCAGGGCTGTCCATTCTCTCCGTTCTTGTTTAACTTTGTTGTTGACGTCCTTTTAGAGATGACACTTTCCTCATCTAAATTTCTAGGAGTTGAACTTTACCTGGAGAATATCCCGATGACATAGTTCTATTTGGTGAAGACGCTAACAAAATGCAGAGTCTGCTGACCACTCTAAGCAACAATGCAAGCATGTTCGGCATGCGATTTTCTCCCTCGAAATGCAAAATGTTGCTTCAGGATTGGGTTGCATCGACACCCGAACTAATGATAGGGAGTGAAGTAGTTGAGCGTGTCGACCGCCTCACTTATCTGGGAAGTCTCATCAGCCCTTGTCGTATGGTGTGTGACGAAATCTCAGCACGGATACGAAGGCTCGAATAGCTTTTACCAATTTGCGTCATTTATGGCGTAGGCCCTACTTCGGTCTGGGCACCCGGGCAGTATCACAGCCCACGCACAAATGAAATTTTGTGTGGCACATACATAATTGCTGCCCTATTGTAACAATATTTATGTGTTCAAATAATAATAATAATAATAATAATAATAATAATAATAATAAATATGCCGTAGGCGAGATATCCGTCTATTAACCAAAGGACGTGTTTGCAGTCCGTTCCGTCCTACTTTATGGCAGTGAAACATGGGCGGTATGAGTAGAGGATCTTCGTAGGTTACTAGTATTTGACCATAGGTGCCTTCGAAACATTGCTTGTATATCCTGGGACTACCGAGTAAGTAACTCAGTTGTTATGGAACGGGTACTAGGTAAGGATGGCAAATCAATTGATGAAGTAGTGGAACTTCATCAGCTGAGATGGCTGGGACATGTGTTACAAATGTCTGACCACCAACTGCCCCGATTTGCGATGTTTTATGGTGTAGGAGTAGGTTGGAAGAAAGCTAGGGGCGGCCAGACCAAAACATGGCAGAAATCCATGAAGTCACTGACAAGTGGACTGAATCATGTTGGTAGGTGTAGACTACCTGGTTGGGGACCGCGAGACGATAGCAACCGATGGTTAGAGATGTTGAATGACATGGCTCAAAATCGTTTGCTATGGCGCAGTTGTGCATCCACTCTGTGTTCTCTCAAACTCTAATATTCTGTATTCTTCATATCCTTTATTTTGTTTCCAAATCTATTCCACTGAACTATACTGCTTAAATAACATCATCAAACCCTAATGTTCCCTATCACTACCTCTTCCACTACGGGATTTGAATCGATAACTGAATCTCTGTGCTAATGTGGTATGGCAACTCGAACTGATGTACGTACGTACACACGTACAAAGTTCCACGTTGTTACTGACTGACTGATACTTTCCCTCTACCCTCATTTTGATTTATTCTATTAGTCTATTTATTCTTTATATTCCCTATTTTTTTTTTGTTTTTATGAAGGAAATTGTGCAGATGGTGAAGGTAGTGATCAATGTGACAGTGTTGTATCATTACAAGTCATTACAAATAATTGTGATGAAAATATACAACAAACAGAGATGAATAATAATAATAATACAGCACAGATTACTTGTGAATTAGATAGACTATGCTTGAATACAGTTTCATCATTTTCATATGATTCCAATGAATTAAATCAAGCTATTCATTATGCACAAATTCCACTTGGTCAAAATAAAAGTAATAATTCCACAAAAGATGGTGTTATATCTATTTATGAATGTCTTTCAAAATATACTTCTGCTGAATTATTAACAGGATCTAATCGTTTAATTTGTGATGTATGCACAAAACAAAATTCATTAAATAATGAATTGGAATATAAGTTGAATAGTGAAACAATGAATAAACAAACGCCTAGCAACAACAACAACAACAACAACAAGAACAGTAACAAGCCAGACATTTTACAAGATGTTATCAAACGTGATTTAATCTATAAACCTCCACCGATTCTCACAATACATTTGAAACGATTTCAACAAGTAAATTATTCTTTTGATAGTAGAGAAATAAAAAACATTGCTTTACTTTTAGTACGTCGGATACTTTAGGTGAAGTTTTGTTCTCTAAGTTGAATGGTTTAGTTATGGAGCTTTCATCGTCCTTCTGAATGATAATATCAGCACAAACTTTAGGTAGAAGTGAAGTGTTCGAATTCGTCCACATGCGGTTCAAGGAGGTACAAGGAGGCACCAAATACATATGCGCCACACAGATCTCATTTGATATGTGTGAGGGCTGTGATACTACCCGGGTTCCCAAACCGAAGCAGGTGGTTTGCTTAGGGGACCACACTCCAAACCTTTGACCTGAAGATCTGGTCCACAAGGCAGTGGAGCATCCTGAGGAGATGCAATCCCATGGTAGCCGGTGACCAACGATTGGTTCATACGCCATTTGTTCCTTCAGGATACTGGAGCCCATGTGCACCATTGGTTTGGGACCCGGTCTAAGCATCGGACATTCGCTTTTCGTCCTCTCATTTTCGTAAACAACAGTAATGCCACGTGAAGGCGGGGGTGTTGTTTATGACATCTGGTACTTGAATGTTTGATGCTAATCAATTCCTAGCCCTTAGGAATTTTCCACACTTGAATTTCGGAAAAAATATAAAAGATAGGAAATATGAAACGATACTACTTCTATGGTTAGTATAAGTATAGCAGTACAAGAATATGTATAGATTTGCGTATCTTCGATAATTTAGAAATGCTATCCTTGCTTTGCCAATCAATGCCCTCACATATACATCAGATCCCACTTGCTTATAAGTTATGCTGTCCAGGTACGTGGAAGTTTCCACCTCTTCTAGTGCTTCTCCACTAAGTGTAACTGGGTTGGCGTTGTATTTGAGGATCTTGCTTTTCCCATTGTGTATTCTGAGGCCTACTGATGCACAACCTGCTGCTATATTAGTTGTCTTGACCTGCATTTGAATGAGATAGAATCACCAGATCATCTGCGAAGTTCAAATCATCTAGTTGCATCCAAGCCGTCCATTGTATTCCGTACTTCCCCTCAGATGTCGAGTTGTTCATAATCCGGTCGAACAAGGTTCCATAATGTTCTCCTATCCACATTGCCAAACGCCTTCTCTTATTCAATGAAGTTGATGTATAGTGAGGAATCCTGCTCAATTGATTACTCAACAATGATTCGTTGTGTCACGATTTAGTGTATGCACGACCGATCCTCACGGAATTCGGTCTGTGTATCTCGATGTTGGGCGTCTACTGAATCTTTCATCCGGTTAATCAACACGCTGTTGAAAACTTTTCCTGGTACCGATAGTAGTGTGGTGCTTCTGTAGCTGAGTTCTCACATTTCCTCGGATCTCCTTCCCTTGGTATCTTGATAAGATGTCCTTCTTTCCAATCTGTCGGCACTTTTTTATCGTCTCAAATCTTCCTGAATAGAACGTGAAACATGTTTGCCGTTACTTCTATGTCTGACTTCAGTGTTTCAGCTGGTATATTGTCAGGTCCTGTAGCTTTCCCAATCTCGATTTGTCTGATGACCTTCCTGATCTCTTCGATCGTTGATGAAGTGACATCGATAGAACGGTCTGTGTGTACTGCTTCAATATCCTATGGATTCAATGGAACTGGTTTATTCAACAGTTCCTCGAAGTATTCTACCCATCTTTTCCTCTATTGTTGAATCTCAGTGTTTGACTTGCCTTCTTTATCCTTGACTGATCTGCCTGGTTTACAATATTTCTTTGCTAGTCTCTTCATTGTGTCATATAGTGGTTTCATATTACCTTCTCTTTCAGCTTTTTCCACTGTCGTTGCTAACTGTTTGATGTACTTCTGTTTATCAGCTGTAATGCTGTTCTTCACTTGTTTGTTTACTTCTGTGTATTGAGTTTTTGTTTTGACTTTCCCTTTTCTTATTTGACTGGCTGTTGTTATTTGCTGTCTTGTTGTTCTTCGTTTCTTGAATATTGTCTAGGGTTTCGATAGAGATCCATTGCTTATGATGATGCTTGTTGTGTCTGAGAACCTCCTGACATGTTGGAGTTAGTTGTTGTTTGATTCCTTTCCAACTGTCCTCCATAGTAGTTACCGCTTCTCCCAGTAGGTTTTGTAAGGCTTGGAATCTGTTGTTGAGAGTTATCTTGAATTCGTTGAGTTTGTCAGTATCTTGTCAGCCACAATCATGTAGTAATCTGAAGCTATGTCAGCTATTCTCTTTGTTTTCACGTTTCACATTGACGCTCTGATTTTTTTAGTAATGCAAGTATGATCTTTCTGGTTCTGTGTAGCATGATCCGGTGAGACTCATGTATCCTTGTGTATGCGTTTTTGGGGGATTATAGTGCCACCTTTAACCATTTTGTTGAATGCTTATAAATTTGCAAATATCTCACCATTCTCGTTCCTTTGTCCTATTCCATGTTGTCCCATAATATATTCATACCCGGTGTTGTCCATTTCAACTTTAGCGTTTAGGTCTCCCATCTGGATGGTCAAGTCCTTTCCTGGACACTTCACTATGATTGATTGCAGCTTCTCATAGAACTGATCTTTATCGTCGTCATCGCTATCATTGTTGGGTGCATAATACTGAATATAATTCATTGTGATTCCCTTTTTTGTTTTGAAGGATGCTTTCATGATCGTGGAACGATAAGATTCTCATTCTATAAGTACTTTTCGTACAGCATCACTGCAACTTCCAGTATGTGTGATGCATTTTGTTCTTCATGATCGGAGTACAACAACATCTCTCCCTAAGCTAGTTTTTTCTATCCAGCTTGATTCCAATGCGTTCCACTTATTCCGAGAACCACCGAGTTGTATCTCTTCATTTCCACAGCTATTTCATTAGCCCTTTCATTCATTCACATTGTCCGGACATTCCATGTACATATATTAATTGTTTCTCTGGTTGTTAGAAGGGGCATCGGTTTCATGACTTCTGAAGAATCTCGGTTTTCATCAATGAGGCGTCATATTTCTTGTGAATGAAGATCCTTCAACTCGCAGGACAGTTCAAGTTGTTTGAATGTTTTTTTTGTTGCCTAGATTGTTTTATGTGAGATGTGGTTACTGACCCTTATGCCCAAACCTCCTTTATCCAGGCTTGGGACGGGCAGTAATCTTAGAAGGGCTACAGATGAAGTTATATGATATATATAATTTTTATCTTTTAAATAAACTGAAGCCTATTATACTCCTTAATGTCTACTTTCCTTCACATTTCAGGTTGGTGTTCAATTACGAAAATCTCAGAAACGTATTCATTTCCCAATCTACTTGGATATCACTCCTTTCTGTTCTGTTCTCGCTATGGTAGATAGTTTTCTGTCATTTTTCTTCGGTGCTTATTCATATAACCTTTGTTTGTTTGATACACAACATTACTCATTGTGTACATTTATATTTGTCAATACTGACCAATGCTCCAAAATGTCCTGGTACGGCCGAGGGTAGGGAGAGTTAGGTCTCCCTCTCGAATAAACACGCGTACACAATCACTATCAAGGAAGTCCTACTCACTGCCTTCTCGCAGTGGGGGGTATTTTTCACGAAATTGAGCGAACGAAAAGCAAATGTCCAACAGGGGCTTAAACAAGGTTGTTGCATATGGAGGATTCACTTAAGGCAGTTGGAAAACCGTAACTCCAAACCAATGGTACACATGGACTCCAAGATCCTGAGTGAACAAATGACACACGAGCCAATTGTTGGTCATCGGCTACTATGGGACTGCATCTCCTGATGTTGCTCCAATACCTTGTGGATTAGACCTTTAGGTCGAAGGCTCCGGGTGTGGCCTCCTAAGAAAACCACCTGCTTCGGTTTGGGCACCCGGACCGTATCACAGCCTACACACGATTCAAGTGACTTGTGTGGCGTATATGTATTTGGTGCCCCTTTGTACCGATATTTATATGTTCAAATAAAGAAATAAATAATAAATATCAAATATTAAAGTCATTTATTATATCTCACGAAATTATACTTTGTATTGACCGCTAATTATACTATACATAAGTATTCTGTCTTGTTGACCTAAAAGCATGACTACAGAGTCAAATGTCGTTTATATTAGATTGGTCAGGTACAAACAGTTATCTCTTGATACCTAGAGTTACGTTGATGAATTGACAGGACTGTCAACTACTACAGATTCAGCTTCTTTTCTTGACTTCACAGTAAGGTATTCCGTCCACGGTATTAGTAACAGGCTTGTATTTATTTATTTATTTATTTTTATTTTAACACATAAATATTGGTACAAGGAGGCACCAAATACATATGCGCCACACAGATCTCATTTGATGTGTATGAGGGCTGTGATACTGCTCGGGTTCCCAAACCGAAGCAGGTGGTTTTCTTAGGGAGCCACAACCCGAGCCTCCGACCTGAAGATCTGATCCACAAGGCAGTGGAGCATCGTAAGGAGATGCATTCGCATGGTAGCCGGTGACCAACGATTGGTTCATACGCCATTTGTTCCTTCAGGATACTGGAGCCAGCCCATGTGCATTATTGGTTTGGGACCCGGTCTAAGCATCGGACATTCGCTTTTCGTCCTCTCAATTTCGTGAACAACACCCCTGCCACGAGAAGGCAGTGAGTAGAGGACTTCGCTGACAGAGTCTATATACACGTGGCCATGTGAGAGCATTTGGAGAGGGAGAGCAGACTCTCTCCACTCTCGGCCGTACCAGGGCATTTGGGGGCTACATGGTTGTATAAATCACCCATACATCTCTAATAGCGCTCAATTCTACAACGATAGGTTGATCTCCTAACAGACCATTTCTTGTGGTTGTTGTTACCCTATGGTAATATTTCATTATGATAATTAGTTGGATTCTTGTTTAACTCTATGAAGTACATGTATTATTTTAAAATTACTCTCATGAAATGTTATTCCTTCAATTCTCTATTTGTTTAAACTTTATTTATAGACTCGTTCCAATCAGATTCGTTATCGTCTTTACGGTGTAATTGAACATACTGGACATTTAACTTCTGGTCATTATGTAGCTTATATAACTTTACCAAAATCATACACTAATTCTAATTCTAATAATAATCAATCAGATCATATAGAAAATCAATTTATTGGCTCATTAAATCGTTCACCTAAATGGCCTTTATCTATTAATGATTTAATTCAACGTCTTCGTCGATGTGATCATCATCATCATCATCAATTGTTATTGTCATCATCGAATAGTTTTATATCTTCTAACCAAAATGTCAACAATACTATCAATCATTCAACAAATCATAATAATGATATGGTTAATGAACATGATAATAATGATTCACTTCAATGGTTCTATTGTTCCGACAATCATATCACACGTGTATCTCAATCAACTGTGCTGAATTGCCAGGCTTATGTTTTATTTTATGAACGTATTGAATGATGAATATGTAGAATTCTTAGAAACAAACATATTTATGTATACTTTGTGAGTGTGTATATATATATATATATACATATACATATTACCACTAGTTACTATGCTTTCATGATGTCTCTTATGCGAAATGATCATTGTAAATAGTTACTCTTTCCCCCCTTCCCTCCTGTTTTTATACATAATCTAATAGGTTTTAAGAAAAATATATCTTATGAGAATGAAAAAAAAACGGAATTTCTATTTTGTTGTTAATGTTCTCGTTATTCATAGAGTTTGTATGTGTTTGTATGAACTACTTGGTGGGCTTATCTACCCTATGCAAAGCTTAGGTTAATCTATCGAAGGTAGTCGACAGGAAACCCTATTCCATATAAGTTTCGTTTTAGTTGGCACTTGTTAGCAATGCACACAAAAAACCTTGAAAGGAATGATGCTTTTTATGGGATTCAAATCTGGACCACTAAGCTTCATAATGTAAGACATCACCATTGAGTTATTCGGGTCATGACTGACCTCTTGTTAGATAGAGATATTTACAGTTGATTAATCATTGGGTAGTGATTAATGTTGCGTTTTCATATTGTTTAATGGTGACAAAATTCTACCGACCAAGTTACTATTGTCATGTTTAACTGCAGTGAGAACTATCCAATGTGATAATCTGTACAAAATACTAATCACCACCTATCTGTGGATTCATTGAACAATCGACGTAAACAATCTCCTATCCTCTGCTTCAGATTCTCTAATCGATCCCTAGGTTGGACATTAAACAGAAGATTTTTGTAAAATGTAATTAGGCCGACTAATGATCGATACCTGCTTCGGTTTGGGCACTCGTGCAGTATCTCAGCCCTCACACAAATCGAATGATTTATGTGGTGCATATCTGTTTGGTGCCTCATTGTACCAATGTTTATATGTTTAAGTAAATAATAATGATTGATAGTAGCATTCTATTCGCCAGTTAGTAACGACGTAGAACTTCGTACGTACGTACATCAGTTCGAGTTATCATACCACATTAGCACAGAGATGCAGTTATCGATTCAAATCCCGTAGTGGTACACGTAGTAAAAGTATAAGCAGTAATCACAAAGATCAGGGTCCGAAGATGTTATTCAAGGAGTGTAATCCACTGAAATAAATTTGGAAAGAGGACAAAAAGAGACGAATAATTCATTAGATTAGAATTTGGGAGAACACAAAGAGTGAATGCACCTGCGCCATTGCAAACGATTTTGAGCCATGTCATTCAAAGTCTCTAATCATCGGTTGGTATCGTTTCGCGGATACCAACCAGGTAGTCTACACCTACCAACACGGCTTAGTCCACTTGTCAGTGACTTGGTGGATTTGTTCCATGTTTTTGTCTGGCCGCCCCTAACTTTCTTCCAACCTACTCCTACACCATAAAACATCGCATGTCGGGGCAATCGGTGATTGGGCATACGTAACACCACATGTCCTAGCCATCTCAATTGATCAAGGTTCATTACTTCATCAATTAATTAGTATTCTACTAGGCAGGACTAAAATATTCGAAGTGATTTGTTAGGTACATTCAATTTTTCCTAATGGAGTTCAATCTTGCTTCTTACTTATTGTAGAATTTGTGGGAATTCGAACCAACAAATGTAATCTTCGTATTGAAGAAAAGTGTTTGTAATATGAGTTTTTCTTCTTTGGTTAGACGAAATTGATTGATTTATTTAAACACAAACATTGGTGTAAGGAAGAATCAAATAGATATGTGCCTCACAAACAATTCGATTTATATGAGGACTGGGATACTGCCTGGGTGCCCAAACTAAAGCGGGTGGTCTTCTTAGGGTGGCCACACCTGAAGCCTTCAACCTATAGGTGTGATCCACAAGGCAATAGAGCAACATCAGGAGATGCAGTCCCATAGTAGCCGGTGACCAACAATTGTTCCATATATCATTTGTTCGCGCAGGATCCTGGAGTCCATGTACACAATTGTTTTGAAATAAGGGTATTCCAACTCCCCTAGGCGGAGTCTCCGTGTCCACCAACATGTTTAAAGAGTCGGACATTCGCTTTTTGTCCTTTCAATTTCGTAAACAACACCCGTGGTGTGAGAAGTCAGTGAGTCAAACAGTGGTTGTTTGCACGTGTCCATGGTGAGAGAGCGCTGACTCCCCGCAGTTTCGGCCATACTAGCGCATTTGAAGGCACATACATACATACATACAGTGTAATTACTTAATTTAAGAGTATGAATTACAGTTAATCGTCTTAGTCAATCGGTCAGCTACAACGTAGGATCAGGCACATATATGCATCGGTCCAAGTTGCCACACCACCTTAGCACAACAAGTTGAACACAAGATTCATAGAAGTAGTTAATTCCATGGTGGTAATATATAAAAGAAAGATTACATACAAGGATATAGTATAGGAAGAAAGAATAGATTCATAGAAAGAAAGATATGAAGTGATTTTAATATCATAGTTTAAGGGAAGACAGGGAGTGTATACACCACCTACGCCATTGTGATCAATTTTGAGTCATGTCACCAAGAGTCTCCAGCTATTGGTTACGATAATCACGCGGACCACAACAAAGTAGTCTGCACCTACCAACATGGCTCAGACTAGAAGTTAGTGACTTGAGGGACTGATGCCGCGTTCTGGTTTGGCCGCTCCTAACTTTCTTCCAGCTATCTCCAATACTAGTTAGTATTGCCCGTCGTGGTGATCGGTGTTTAAGCATACGCAACACGTGGCCTAAATATTTCAGTCGATGAAGATTCACAACCCCATCAAGTGATTTACCACCATTCCCTAATACCCTGCTTTTAATCTCACTATTGCATATCCGGTGATGCCAACCGTCTCTAGAAATCGTCTGAGTAGTTCGTATCTTTCCTTTTATTTCTCTCATCATAAGTAGAATTGATGCCAGGTTTTAGTTCGGCCGTCGTTAGTGGTCCCGGTAAAGATACACAACAATAATACATAGTTTCCCTTCACTTTACCTCCGGTTAACACCTTTGATTTCACTCGTTATGGAAGCTTATTTAATTTTATTCCTTTATGTATATTTTGGTTAACAACAATTCCTATCAACAGAGGGGTGTTTTTGGAGATTGTAGAATTTCTATAGTTTAAATAATGAATTGATATGAACTAGAACACCATGAAAACCTGGAAGGACTGACTGACTGACTGACCGTTTCGCCATGTTACGAGAATCTTTGGAAGTAGTCATCCTCGAACTACGATTTTGAGTGCAAATATTTAACCTCTAGACCACTGAGCTGATATCCAACAATGTTAGTACCGAACTTTAATAAACTCATGATATTTTACAACATTTATTTATTACCTTCAATTGGATACCATCTCAATGATCTAGAAGTGAAGCGTCTGTACGCAGTACCAAAAGTCTTGGGTTCATTTTGCTGATGTGGTGTCATGGACACACACTATTATGAAACAACAGTTTAATACTCCTCAGTTTTTAATTATTACTTTGCTGCAACCAATATATGATATAAAATTATCTTCGTACACTATTGTTTTTCTTTTAAAATTAACCTTAACAGCCGCCAAATGCCCTGGTACGACTGAGAGAAAAAAGAGTCGGCTCTCCCTCTTCAAATGCTCTCACATGGCCACGTGCATACAACCACTGATAGAGAATTCCTACTCATTGCTTTCTCACGGTGGGGGGTATTTTTCACGAAATTGAGCGAACAAATAGTGAATGTTCAACCGGGGCTTAAACAGGGTTGGTGCATATGGAAGATTCACCTAGGGAAGTTGGAAAACCCTCATTCCAAACCAATGGTACACATGGACTCCAGTATCCTGAGCAAACAAATGATATATGAACCAATTGTTGGTCAGAGGCTACTATGAGACTGCATCTCCTTATGTTGCTCGATTGCCTTGTGGATCACACCTTTAGGTTGAAGGCTTCACTTGTGTCTCCCCCCACCTAAGAAGACCATTCGCTTTGGTTTGGGCACCCAGACAGTATCCCAGCCCTCATATAAATCGAATTATTTATGAAACACATAACTATTTGGTACTTCCTTGTACCAATGTTTATGTGTTTAAATGAATAAATAAATAAATGTATAGAACAATTTTCCCTAATATGGCTATCAGTCATTATATTATCCAAATCTATTCTATATCTACCCCCGTTTAATTAAATAATATTGACCTATTTTATTTATTGTTAGATTGATTATTATGGAATTAATCAATAAATTATTTCTTCCTATTATATTTGATTGTTTAGTCTAATTGAATACCATCCCCCCTCATTACCATCATCCCTACTACTACTACTACTACTACTACTACTACTACTACTACTACTACTACTACTACTACTACCACCACCACCCCACCACCACCACCTCTACCGCCGCTACACCACCACCACCACCACCAAGAACAACAACCAAAAAAAACAATAACATAACTTTAGGCACATATTTATTGATTAGAAAAAAAAACAACTTAAATGGTTCAATGAAATAAGGTAAGGTGAATGAATGGAAGTAAATATCTATAAAATAGTATCCCATATTACCCTATTATAAATAAATAATGATGGTCAATGTTAATCGATAGATTAAAGATTAATTTTCTTTCTTTATTATTTTTTTTAATAATTTCTTTTAACATTCAAGAAAATGATTCATCAATATGGTAGAATATTTAAGAATTGTGAGAAAAGATGAATAGTGACTAACAGTGGAATTCAGTTTGATGCGCATTTTGTCCTATTTGGGACTCGTCAGCTAGATGTGTTTACATCTCAGAGTTGATGTTCACTCTGAAACTCGAATTCATTGTCATCCGCTTCAAACGCCATCACTTTATCCAATTAGCTATTGAGTCTTGATAACCAATTGTTTGTGCAATGGGGTGAAATTTAATTCATTTGATATTGTTTTTACTTGAATCTTTTCATTGAGGTTTAAGACTGCAATGGATCAGTCTGGTATTAGCATATGTGCCCCCAAATGCCTTGGTATGGCCGAGAGTGGAGAGAGTCTGCTCTCCCTCTCCAAATGCTCTCACATCGCCACGCGTATATAGACTCTGTCAGCGAAGTCCTACTCACTGCCTTCTCGCCCCCAAATGCCCTGGTACGGCCGAGAGTGGGGAGAGTCCGCTCTCCCTCTCCAAATGCTCTCACATGGCCATGCGTATATAGCCTCTGCCAGAGAAGTCCTACTCACTGCCTTCTCGTGGCGGGGGTGTTGTTTACGAAAATGAGAGGACGAAAAGCGACTGTCTGGCGCTTTAACCGGACCCCAAACCAATGGTGCACATGGACTCCAGGATCCTGAGCGAACAAATGGTGTATGAACCAATCGTTGGTCACCGGCTACCATGGGACTGCATCTCCTTACGATGCTCCACTGCCTTGTGGGTCAGATCTTCAGGTCGAAGGCTCGGGGTCTGGCCCCCTAAGAAAACCACCTGGTTCGGATTGAGCATCCGGACAGTATCACAGCCCTCACACATATCAAATGAGATCTGTGTGGCGCATATGTATTTGGTGCCTTCTTGTACCAATATCTATGTGTTAAAATAAATAAATAGATAAAAACAAGCATTATAAGCAAAGATGGATAGTGGCTAGCAGTGGAATCCAGTTTGACGTGCGTTTCGTCCTATTTGGGACTCGTCAGCTGGATGTACCTGCTTCTCAAAGTTGTTTATAATGCTTGTGAGGTAAGGCAATATCGAGGCATACGCACAGTATGTACATATGCCAATAAGAGACTGAACAATTTCAGTCCTAAACATCAATGGGATGATTCAAATAAAACAATATCAACTGAATTATATTTAAGAATTTGTCATGAAAAAAATTTTTTTTTTAATGGTTGCTCTGGTTGTCAGATGGCGGGGGGTGTATCAACCTTGTGACTTTTAAAGGAACTCAGTTTTCATTATGAAGCATTTTAACTCTTCTAAATGAAGAGTTTCTAACTCTCTGGGGTAAAGTTTTAATGGTTTGAATTATTTTTTTTCTGGTTAGCGTAATTTTAGCTTGTTTTCTATGGGGTGGGGTCATTAAACCCATGCTCAACCCTCCTTCTTTTATCCAGGTTTGGGATCAGCAGTAGCCTCAGAGGGGATCCAGGTGGAGTTTCACATGAGAAGTAATTCATATTATTATTTATTTGTGAACATAGAGAAGTGATTGAAGTTAGGAGGTTAGGTGTTCGTGCGTGTGATTGAAAGTTATGTGTTCGACTTTGACTGGGTTGTGTATACACACGGCTGAGGTGTCCCGTATTAGGGTGACTCTGGGTTCTCAAGTGTTGTTCAATCAAGATCAGTCTGTCATTATAGTTTATACATAGATGTTTTATTCTTGACATGGTATGATAATATGACTGTAATCCATCAGTGATCGATTGAACAAGACAGTCAACTTAAGTATAAGGTTAATGAAACCCACGAAGATTACTAGTCACAATTCAGGCTATCAAAATCAACTTATTTAACATACTTACTTGCTTACTTATATCTTTTACTCCTCATGGAGGAGCACAGGCTGTCCATCAGCATTCCCCATCTCTTGTGAAATAACTAGAAATGATCATTTTTATATACTATAGGCGATGGGGAGGTTGTCTAAAACGACAATAAATGCCATCCGACTAAGCTACTTAACACAGGGAATATAACATCGTTAACAATTATAGTACCGTAGTTAGCTTCACCATTATCATCTTTGTTGTCTTCATAAGTCTCACTCAACCTCTTGATTCACTTAAAATGAGCTTTTCTCTTTAATTCCTAGTCTCCATAAGCACAAATCAGTATTTTATGAGTTTCCCGAGAGTATTTTTTCCAGGATTTTACCAAAAGTATAAAAGTCAATTATATACCCACTCTTGATAGAATTCAATTAGTGCTAAGGACTAGACAAACATGACATTAGTTACTAATTAGGATACTGTCAACTATATCCATGACGTTCTATCGATTCTGACCGTACTCTTGCGATGTATACAATAAAATTAATTAATTCTAGTCAATTTATAACAGAGAGTTTGATGACTATCTTGATCTCTTCGATCGTTGATGAAGTGACATCGATAGAAAGGTCTATGTGTGCTGCTTCGATATCCAGTGGATTCAGTGGAGCTTGTTTATTCAAAGGTTTTTTGAAATACTCTACCGGTCTGTTCCCCTATTATTGAATTCCAGTGATTGGCTTGCCTTCTTTATCCTTGACTGATCTGTCTGGTTTACAATATTTCTTTGCTAGTCTCTTCGTTGTGTCATATAGTGGTTTCATATTACCTTCTCTTTCAGCTTTTTCCACTGTCGTTGCTAACTGTTTGATGTACTTCTGTTTATCAGCTGTAATGCTGTTCTTCACTTGTTTGTTTACTTCTGTGTATTGAGTTTTTGTTTTGACTTTCCCTTTTCTTATTTGACTGGCTGTTGTTATTTGCTGTCTTGTTGTTCTTCGTTTCTTGAATATTGTTTAGGGTTTCGATAGAGATCCATTGCTTATGATGATGCTTGTTGTGTCTGAGAACTTGCTGACATGTTGGAATTAGTTGTTGTTTGATTCCTTTCCAACTGTCCCCCGTCGTAATTTAGTGTTTATTGATGTGACTTTTTACCTTGTTTTCGATCAGTCTATCGAATCATATCCAATGTAGAACCTGGTACATATATAAATCAGTTCATGCTGCCGTACTCCATTAACACATCAAGATGAAATTATCAAAGGAAATCCCAGTTTAGTACAGATGGCCATAGTATCAACAGTGATAGAAAAGATTAAGCTTCTAAGCTAAACTTCGAAAAGACAACATTGATTAGTGGAAGATTAGAAAATCTACGAGATAATTTAAAAATTTGGTATCTAAGAGTAGATAAAGAGTGAATACACCGGTGCCATTGTGAACGACATTGATTCATTTCAACCAGTTTCTAACTATCACACAAACTCTAACCAGATAATCTGGAATTGCCTACATGATTCAGCACAAAAGCCAGTATCTTTATAGATTAATGACAAATCTTGTTTGGTGGATCGTAGCTGTTTTCCAAATCATACATTCACCAGCTATCATCATCCGTCTAGGTAGTCAATCCAAGGCATTTCTCAATATTATGCGTACACTTTAAAAATTCTAAATGTCAACTATTAAACATTCTTTATTTCCCAAAAACAATACATTTTACAATATTTTAGAATCCATTGTATAAAATTATGTGGAAGTAGTTCACTGATTATAACCTCAGTCAATCAGTCGGCTACAACTTAGGACCAGGCACATATATGCATCGGTACAAGTTGCCATACCTCATTAGCACAACAAGATGAACACCACATTGATAGAAGTAGTTATTTCAGTGGTAGTATTATTTAAAAGAAAGACTGTGTATAAGGACATAGTACAGAAAGAAAGAATAAATTCGTAGAAAGAAAGATATGAATCCCAACAAAGATAGAGAGTGTATACACCTACACCATTGTGATCAATGCTGAGCTATATCATCCATAGTCTCCAATCCTTGATTAAGATAGTCACGTGGACCACAACCAACTTCAACTTCAACTACCCATGGAAGATGGTCACGCATTGTCATTACCTAACTGAAGTTGGACTCGTGTATCATTAAACCCCAGCTCAGTGGTCTAGAGGTTAAGGATTTGTTCATAACAAAAAGTTCAATAATACGATTAAACAACTGTCCACTACTTTCAGTTAGTCAATTGTTATCTAAGTTAGATCAGCTCACGTTCTCAATAAAACGTAATCAACTGCAAGAATCTGTACTAATAATATGAATCAATATTCAGAAAACGAGTATCTTACATTACTTTCTTTTAAGACTAAATACTAATAATTAGTGAACGTGTTGATGCTTTCTTTTGAATATCTAATTTATGACCAGTGTATTCTAATCTGTTTCAGATGTGAGACAATCAATGTAGAGTTATGCAAGATCATGGATTGATTGAAGTTAAACATTAACAAAATTGGATATCGGATTAATTGTCTACCTATGGCCATAGGTTCGAGTCCCACATGCAAGATCATAGATATTCATTACTGAAGAGTCAAATACTACGACAAAGACAGCTATTCAATGTTTTCAAGTTTTTAATAATGCTCTACTTTAGATTAATTCAATAAATTCAATTGTTTAAATCCTATCATCTTTATAAATCCCCTTAATGATAATTTCGAAATGTCCCTTAGATTGTAAATACCATAGGAGACAAAATATTCACCGAAAAATTTCGATATACTAACTGATCAAATTGTATCATACATACATATATATACACACAAACAAACACATACACACCCTCTTCATCATCATATATAATGCCTATATAACATAGGGGTCTAAAATGTATTCATGTACATACACAACCATATATGTATAGATCTATCTATACACATACATACAAATATGTAAATATTCTTATCTAAATAAACCATAGTGATAAACTTTGTAATAATTATCACTAGAACTAGACACATACTACTAATATTACTAATGACTACTACTACTACTACTACTATTATTGCTGCTAATATTTATATAAAAGATGAAATGATTCTGATTGGTCAATTCAATTAATGCTAATTAACCAATAGGATTAAAGGAACAAAAAAAATGATCATTTTCATTATATTATATTTGATCTGGATCAAGAATAAAATCATTTATAAATATTATCATGAATAAAACTATTATAACTAAACCAATAAAAGAACCTGAATTATTTGATTTAAATAATCAATTAAAAATATGGGCTATCAATATGTATCATTTAACTGCAACAAAAGAACAAAAAAAATATGATCCAATTGAATTAATAATACGTATCATATGGGATGATATAAATGTGAATAATGATAAACCAGAATATTATAATGTAAATATTAAAAAATTACCTAAATTAAATGTATTATTTTCAACAACTTATAAAAATAATACAGATTTTGAACAAGAATATCATTTTCGTACAGAACGTTGTACACGTTCATTAATTGAAATTGAATTACAAAAAGGTATTATATTAACCAATGAATTATCATTAAAATTATCGGTAAGTTAAATAGTTTATATTGAATGATTTACTATCTTAATTACTTACTTACTTAGTTAGTTAGTTAGTTAGTTAGTTAGTTAGTTAGTTAGTTAGTGAGTTAGTTAGTTAGTTAGTTAGTTAGTTACTTAGTTAGTTAGTTAGTTAGTTAGTTAGTTAGTTAGTTAGTTAGTTAGTTAGTTAGTTAGTTAGTTAGTTAGTTAGTTAGTTAGTTAGTTAGTTACTTAGTTAGTTAGTTAGTTAGTTAGTTAGTTAGTTAGTTAGTTAGTTAGTTAGTTAGTTAGTTAGTTAGTTAGTTAGTTACTTAGTTAGTTAGTTAGTTAGTTAGTTAGTTAGTTAGTTACTTAGTTAGTTAGTTAGTTAGTTAGTTAGTTAGTTAGTTAGTTAGTTAGTTAGTTAGTTACTTAGTTAGTTAGTTAGTTAGTTAGTTAGTTAGTTAGTTAGTTAGTTAGTTAGTTAGTTAGTTAGTTAGTTAGTTAGTTAGTTAGTTAGTTAGTTAGTTAGTTAGTTAGTTAGTTACTTAGTTAGTTAGTTAGTTAGTTAGTTAGTTAGTTAGTTAGTTAGTTAGTTAGTTAGTTAGTTACTTAGTTAGTTAGTTAGTTACTTAGTTAGTTAGTTAGTTAGTTAGTTAGTTAGTTAGTTAGTTAGTTAGTTAGTTAGTTAGTTAGTTAGTTAGTTAGTTAGTTAGTTAGTTAGTTAGTTAGTTAGTTAGTTAGTTAGTTAGTTAGTTAGTTAGTTACTTAGTTAGTTAGTTAGTTAGTTAGTTAGTTAGTTAGTTAGTTAGTTACTTAGTTAGTTAGTTAGTTAGTTAGTTAGTTAGTTAGTTAGTTAGTTAGTTAGTTAGTTAGTTAGTTAGTTAGTTAGTTAGTTAGTTAGTTAGTTAGTTAGTTAGTTAGTTAGTTAGTTAGTTAGTTAGTTAGTGAGTTAGTTAGTTAGTTAGTTAGTTAGTTAGTTAGTTAGTTAGTTAGTTAGTTAGTTACTTAGTTAGTTAGTTAGTTAGTTAGTTAGTTAGTTAGTTACTTAGTTAGTTAGTTAGTTAGTTAGTTAGTTAGTTAGTTAGTTAGTTAGTTAGTTAGTTAGTTACTTAGTTAGTTAGTTAGTTAGTTAGTTAGTTAGTTAGTTAGTTAGTTAGTTAGTTAGTTAGTTAGTTACTTACTTAGTTAGTTAGTTAGTTAGTTAGTTAGTTAGTTAGTTAGTTAGTTAGTTAGTTAGTTAGTTAGTTAGTTAGTTACTTAGTTAGTTAGTTAGTTACTTAGTTAGTTAGTTAGTTAGTTAGTTAGTTAGTTAGTTAGTTAGTTAGTTAGTTAGTTAGTTAGTTAGTTAGTTAGTTAGTTAGTTAGTTAGTTAGTTAGTTAGTTAGTTAGTTACTTAGGATTGCTACACTTCATGAAGGTGGAGCATAAGTCATTCACTTACTAACATTGTTTACATTTAACTTTGTCTTACCCAATTCTTTTCTAGTTGTTTCTAGTTGCTAATTATCTTTATGATGTCTGTTTCTGGTACTTGATGTAGTGTGTTCTTTGATAGAAGTAGTTGAAAAGTTCGTGTATCTACGTAGGTGGTGGAGTGAGTGATGACATGAATGCATGTATAGTGAAAGCCACAGAGGCTTATACTGATCTGAGCCATGTTTGGTACCTTTGTGATATTAGTCTGGCTGTGAAAGGATGGATCTATAACGCGTTGGTGAGAGCAGTTTTGCTTTGTGGTTGTGAAATCTGGTCTCTCCGAGTTGAGGATGTTAGACGACTCTCTGTGTTCGATCATCGTTGTCTCCGAAGGATTGCTGGCATCCAGTGGCAACACCATGTCAGTAATGCAGAGGTTCGGCATCGTGTGTTCGGGCACAGAGACGATAATGAAACTGGTGTCACCATCTTGAAACACCGACTTCGGTGGCTTGGACATGTTCTACGAATGTCGTCCCAGAGAATTCCTCGTCGTGCATTATTTGCCGACTCTGGGACTGGTTGAAAAAAGCGGAGAGGTGGTCAGTATATGACATGGTGTCGTGGTATGAAAGAAAGTTGCAAAGGGCTGGCTTCTGTCGGTCTTTTACGACTCCTTGGTTGGCGTCCGAGAGATGGTGTAACACAGTGGCTAGAGACGTTATCAGATATGGCTCAGAATAGAAGCCAGCGGCGATCCTGCTGTAACCTTTCACTTTTTTCATAAAACGTGATTGTATCTTCCTTAACTGAAAGATTTCTTCTGATTGTACCTTTCCGTTTCCAACATTATTATTATTATTATTATTATTATTATTATTATTATTATTATTATTATTATTACACTACCTTACACTAATCTATTCGTTCTTCTTCTTTTTTTACTCACTTTACCCTCTTCATCTTTTTCTTCGCTTCAATTTCTCATTGTTTTGTGTGACGCATATATATTTGTTGCTCTCTTGTACCATTATTTATGTATTCAAATAAATAAATAGATAAATCAATTTCCCTCCAGGATTACAAACTGGCGGTTGCCTCGTGATACAGTTTGATGATTTACTTAATGTATGTCCTATCCACCCCCAGAGTCTTTTCCTAATTTCTTCTTCAGATGGAAACTGTTTTTTTTTCTCAGCTACAGTAGATTGTTGCTGATGGTATCTTGTGTAAACAATCGTTTATAAATACTTGTATTGTTTTGATGATAGTTGTATAAGTTTTTCAAGTTTCCGCTCAGTACATTAGGTCTATCTTGACGTTCGTATTGAAGACCATCATTTTGATATTGATTGATAGACAGTTGTTTTATGTTTCATACGTTCTTTGCTTTGCCAATCCTCACCTTTACATCTGCATTTGGTCCTCATTGTTCATTGATGATACTTCGTAGGTACATGGAACGTTCCACATCATCCAGAGCTTCATCATCAAGTGAGAATTTTAAGACAAGAATTTAGTTTTTGATAATCCTTATACGGAACTATGTTCGGAAGCAAGAATAAAGAATTGAATAGAATGGTTTGAATACATTTTATTTCTTTAGCTTCTCATTAACTACTTACAACTTATATTAATTTACAATCAACATTATCATACAGTTTAGATACATATAACAGTAAACATGAATTAGTATCATTATGGTAAAGTAATGAGATTGAACATATAGAAATAGTGCTATAAATAAATAGAATATATGAGAGAATATTTTGGGTTGCCATGGTAACAAGAGATTACAAAGCAATTGATTATGTAATCAAGTAACCAAATATAAATGAATTACAGGTAGTAACAATAACATGAATTGAGATCAGTCAGGTAAAAACAAAAAAAAACTTTAGATTTCAGATAAGTGTTCCAATTTAAAATGATTGTTAGGGTAATGTAATAAAATTTAATATAAAATTATCATTGTACACGAACAAATGCAGATTAAGACAGTCAATGTAGCAGCAGTCTCTGCATCAGTAGGCTTTAACGTACACAAGGGAAAAACGAAGGTCCTCAAACACAACACGGAGAATACCAAACCAATCACACTTGATGGTGAAACTCTGGAAGATGTAGAATCCTGCCAGTACCTGGGAAGCATCATCGATAAATAAGGAGGATCACATGCAGATGTAAAGGCGAGGATTGGCAAAGCAACAACAGTATTCCCACAATTGAAGAACATATGGGACTCAAAACAACTTCCAATCAATATCAAAGTCAGAATCATTAATACGAACGTCAGCATAGTTAGTTCTACTATAAGGAGCTGAAACTTGGAGAACTACTACAACCATCATCAAGAAGGTACAAGTATTTATAAATAGTTGTCTATGCAAGATACTCAACATCCATTAGCCGGATACCATCAGCAACAGCCTATTGTGGGCGAGAACAGACCAGCTTCTAGCTGGAGAGAAAATTAGGAAAAGGCTATGGAAATGGATAGGACATACATTGAGGAAATCATCAAACTGCATCACAAGACAAGCTCTAACTTGGAATCCTGAAGGGAAGTGGAAAAGAGGAAAGCCAAAGAACACATTACGTCGATAAATGGAAGCAGATATGAAAAGAATGAATAACAACTGAAAATAACTAGAAAGGATTACCCAGGACAAGGTTGGATGGTGAGTGCTGGTGGGCGGCCTATGTTCTTCCACGGGGAGTAACAAGTGTAATTAGATTACCACTGTAAGGAAAGATTTGTCAGTTTCCTTTTTGGAGACATAAGTTAGGCTTTAAAGTATTTGGTAGCCATGGCTTTGGTGAATTTAACAAGAATGAAATTTGACTATCGATCGATGAACTTAAAACATCTCAATCTGATGTTTAACAACAGCATTGCTAAAAAGCGTTTATTTCTTAATGAACTGAAACATTTTTGAGATGTGTTCCTCTAAATGAACATAGCGATTCAACTACTTCGACAGCTACATCTTAATTTGTATACATAGTTGGTGGTAACATAAAATGGGTAAACGATTGATCATTGACTAGAGTAAAGAACACAATGTCTGTTTATTGTAACTGTAACAATGTCATCCAAGTTGGATGACAGTAGATTTCTTGTCTATTGTATATTCTTCTTTGTTCGAACATCTATTGTTTATAAGGAACCTTTTATGTATCGGTAGTGCAAATACTATACGTTTTGTAAAATAACGTTATGATAAGTGATTTTTCTATAACTAGTTAAGATGAATAGTGGCTAGTTGTGGAATCTAGTTTAATGCGTGTTTCGTCCTATTTGGAACTCCTCAGCTGGATATACCTGCATCTCAAAGTTCATGTTCACTCTGAGACTCAAACACCAGTACAGTTTGCTTCATATACTATCACGTTATTCGCTTACCTACTGAGTCCTTATAGGTACCTGCTTGTGCAATGGGGTGAAGTTTAACATTCACTTGATATTGTTTACTTAAATCTTCCAATTGATGTTTAGGATTGCAGTGGATTAGTCTCTTATTGGTATATGCGCATCCTGTGTGAACTGAATCGATATAACCTTAATTCACAAGCATTATATACAAAGATGAATAGTGGGTAGCAGTG